CCACCTGCTGGTCTGTGAAAAGCATGGGAGCATTTTTGAAGTATTTTCTGCTGGCAAAACCTTCTCAGGCCTGCACAGCCTCCCTCTCACTACAAGAGGCTCTTGCAGGGTGCTACAGGGAGAAGAGCCCCTATGTGTGCCAGGAGCCAGCCTTGGGGTAGACTGCCGTTAGCCTGTGCCCTGGTCCTGGCTTTGCCACTAGTCAGCTGCAGGATCTTGGACAAGTCATTTTATTTCTTTGGACCTAGAGGGAAGAGTTTGCATTTATAAAATGAAATGTCAGGGCTGGCAGGTGGCATGGTGGTTAAGGGCACTGGACTCCCACATGGCCGACTGTGGTTTGAGTCCTGGACCTGGTGGCTTGCTTTCTCACTTTCCCTCTCTCTCTCTGTCACTCTGTCCCTCTCTGATCAAATTACAGTAAGTAAATAAATAAAGTTAAATAAAATCATTTTTAAAAGTAAAATAAAATAAAATGTCTGGATTGGGTGATTCTTAAGGGTTAGATTCTGATTTCGTGATTCTGATACACTCATTGAGTCGAGGTATTGATTGTGAATAAGGCTCCGTGATTTATGCTTCTCCATTACATGTATCTTTTTTTTTTTTTTTTTTTGCTATAGGGCATGTGTGCTTGTTGGAGAGAGGGGGAAGTGGGAAATCACCCCAAGGGGAATGGCCATGCCATAGTCCCCTTTCCTCTCAGGATTTTTGGATACACACACATGCCTGGCATGCGTTTCAAGCCACCCAGTCTGAGACTTGGACCACACAGTCAGCAATGCGGGATCCATCCACCCCAACCACCACACTATACTGGCTGGCCCCCTAATACTCTGTATGTATCTTAAACAAGAGACTCTCTCTTTTTTTTTTTTTTTGGAGAGGTTTTTGCTAAAGGATGCGTGCGCTCGCTAGACAGAGAGAGACATAGAGACAGAAAGTGAGAAATCACCCCCCAGGAGGGTTGGTCACGCTGCAATCCCTTCTCCTCCATTCTCCTCTCGGGATCTTGGGCACGCACGCACATGTGCCCGGCATGAGTTCTAAGCCACTGAGTCCGGGATGCGAACTGCGGTCGACTACGTGAGAGTCCAGCGACATAGCCATTATGCTAACTGCTAGTTCCCTTAAACAAGAGACTCTTATCTAAGATAAAAGAATGACTTTCTAATGGTGAAATGTCACATCACCCTGTGAGTCACCTATACCCAAACACACTTAATATTAGGTCTTCAGAAGAGTCTTGATGTATTTTTCTATGCATCATGACTTTCCCAACAACCCAGTAATTTTCTACACCTCATATATCCTAGCCATTATCTGGTCCTTCACGACAGAAAGGAGCAGAGGACTGAGAGGGTTAGGGACTCTCCTATATCTGCCTCTAGTCCTGGAAGGAGAGAAGTATCTTTCTGGAAGAATAAGACAAGTTCCTGGGTCTGGAGCTTCCTTCTCTTCTTTGCCCCAGTCTCAGCTGTTTTCTGCTGTCTGCTTCCTTCTCCCATCCTCCTCCTCCCTGCAGTTGGGCTTATGTCATCATGATCCCCTGGTGGGCTGGTGGCTCAGTCACCACAGCCTGTGGAAGGAAGGGATGTGACTCACACTCCAGGTCCAGGCAGTCAGACTGGATGGGCTAGACAGGGGCTTCCCTAGGACACAGAGCAGGTTCTAGGTGAGCAGAGGCCTCAGCTCCCTCCTGGGAGGAGCATTGCCCAGACAGAACCATTCGCTCTCCTTTTCCCATTTCTATGAATTCACTCAGGCCTTCTCCCCTTGCTGAAGAAAATTCCATCTCTTCTAAGCCTCAAGAGGTTGTGTCTGGGTAGAGCCAATGTATCTGTAAGGAAGGGGATGAACAGATCACAGTTAGAGCCAAAGAGGATTAGGATTTCCCAGCCCACCGTCTCCACACTGGGTTTGAGCCCAGCTACGTTTCATAGCTTGGACAGTTCCCAAGACACAGGTACATCTGCACCACCCCAGGAAGCCAGAGTTTTCTGAGCTAGGGTGTTTCATGAGCTTTATGTCATTAGATTCTGGGAAGTGGCAGTGCTCTTATAATTGGTCCCATTTTACAAATGAGAAAACGGAGGCTCAAAGGATGAAATAATCTGAGAAACCTGAAATGAAAGCCAACAAGGGGGTAGCTGGAATTTGAATGTGGGTGGATGAGATCCAGGACCTACCATAACTTGTGTGGCCTCGGGCAAGTTATGTGACTGCTTGAAGTTTGTTTTCTTGGCTGGAAAAATGAGATAATAAACTCACCTTGGGGCTGGCCCTGAAGCACAGTGGTTAAGCACTATGCACTGGGATCCAGGTCCTGCATGGTCCACCCTCGATTGAATCCCACCCCAGGCAACTTGAAAAACACAGCAGATGCACGTGCCTGCATACCACAAATTTTGACAAGATGGAGAAATGGAGGAAAAGAATTGCAGTGTGACCAGGCCCCACTGGGGGTTCACTTTCTCCAGTGAGTGCACGTGGCCTCTGGAAACAAAAATAAAATTAAAACAACAAAACAAATACTATCTCTTTGCGGAGTTGCTGTTCATCAAATAAGGCCTAGCACCTACTCTAGGCCTGGCTCCAGAAGGTGCAGAGTTGGTGTCTGTTCTAAAATGGAAGCCCTACTGCTTCCAATCTCCATGTGTTGGACCTGCTGGGAGGTCTGACAGCCAGGCAGGGTAGACGGCTAGGGTGGGCCATGACCCTGGCAGTGCAGTGCCGGGACCCTGTATGATTCCCTTGGATGGGGTGAGGGTATATGTCTATTACTTTGATCAGGGCTAGCAGTGTGGCTGGAGCCCCACTGTACGGGCACCCAGGCTGGTTCTGAAAGACACCGCTGGCCTCCCACAGCCTGGAGCAACTTCTCCCATTCTGGAGCCCTTTCTTCCCATCCAGGCATCCAGGGGCCTCCCCATTGCCTGAAGTGCTTGAACAGGGCCCCTCAGGCTGGAGCGCAAATACTGAGTAAGTGTAGCTGTGTCCTCAGGATCACTAGACTAGTACAACTGATGTTTCTTTCTGTTTCAGGCTCTGCTATGGAATGGTAGGATATTGTTGATCTTTATTTAAAATGTTGATGTTGGGGCCATCAGGTGGTGTAGTGGTTAAAGCACTGGACTCTGACATGGCCAACTGCAGTTCAAGACCTAGACCTGGGAGCTTTTTTTTTTTTTTTTTCCCTTCTCTCTACTAAGACTCCACTTGCCTCTACCCCACTTCTTCCTCCGAGTCTTCGTTCCCCCTGGTTGGAGACTGCTCACTTCCTTTCCAGATCAATCCCTGACCCCTCCCTAAACATTGACAACCTTGACGAGCCCCTCAGCTGAGGAGCCAGACTTCAATTGGACGCGCCTCCACAGCGCTGTCATGGAGGCTGTGTACCTGGTAGTGAACGGGGTGGGCCTGATGCTGGACGTGCTGACCTTGGTGTTGGACCTCAACTTCCTGCTGGTGTCCTCCCTCCTGGCTTCCCTGGCCTGGCTCCTGGCCTTCATCTACAACCTGCCACACACGGTACTGACGAGTCTTCTGCATTTGGGCCGTGGAGTCCTGCTTTCACTGCTGTGATGAACTCATGTATCCTATGGCAAAAATCTTAAGATGTTGGTGATTTGTTTAACATGGATTTACTTTATTTTATTTTTATCCTTAAGACAGTTTTGCTATAGGGCATGTGTGCTTGCCAAAGAGACAGGGAAAGACAGAGAGACAGAAAGTGAGAAATCACCCCCAAGGGGGATGACCACGTTGTAATACCTTCTCCTCCATTCTCCTTTCGGGATTTTTGGCATGCTTACGCACCTGTCACAAGGTGTATTTTTTGTTTGTTTGTTTGTTTTTGTTTGTCTGTTTGCTTGTTTTGTTTTTGAAAGAGAGATGTTTTTGCTATTAAGGTGTGTGTGCTCGCTGGAGAGACAGAGAGACAGAAAGTAAGAGTGGGTGACCACGCCGCAATCCCTTCTCCATTCTCCTCTCGGGATTTTGTGCACGTACGCACACACACCTGGCATGAGTTTAAGCCACCAGGTCCAGGACTCGAACTGCAATCGACTACGTGGGAGTCCAGCAAAATAACATAACCATTATGCCATCTGCTGGTCCCATGAGTAATAAACTATCAAACACGGTCAACTACGTGGAAGTCCAGCAACGTAACCATTACGCCATCTGCTGGTCCCTATTTTTATTTATTTAAATTTGCTATAGGGTGCGTGTATTTGCCAGATTGAGACAGAGAGAAAGCGAGTGAGAAAACCACCCCTCCCCAAAAGGGAAGGGCCACAGTGTAATCCGTTCTCTTTACGATTTTGGATGTGCAGGTACACACGTCCAGCATGTAATAGGTCCAGAACTCCAACGCGTCAATTGGCCATGTGGGATCTAGCTGCCTTAACCACCACATCAACTGGCTGGGACAGGATTTTAAAATTTTTCTTTTAGTCACATTGATTTGGATTGTTCGAAAATATTGCAGGTCAAGTGGTGGTGTGCGGTTAAGGCACGTGGATCCCACATGGCGGGCTGTGAGATCAGAATCCCAGCCTAGTGGCTTCAAAACACTCTGCGTGCGTGTGTGCCCCAAATCCTGAAAGGAGGGAGAGATGGAGAAGATTGCAGCATGACCATCCCCCCCAGGTGAGGGGGTGCTCTCTCTCCCACTCCCTCTTTTGCTCTATCTGTGAGAACCCACACCTCTGGCAAAACTGCAATCAATAAATTACGTTAAAATTTTATTAAGTCTAAATTCTTTGTCACCTCCATAAATCGTATCCCTAATGATGGAATCTTCAGCTCTAGCTCTTTGGGGGGCAGCCGGGTGTAATTCAGAGGCAGAGGGCCCTAAAGACTGTGCCTGCGCTGAAACCCGTGACCCTCCTGGTAATGGGAGCTTTTGCCTACGCCCACCACCGGCCAGTATAAAGTTGCCAGCCTCGGTCTACCCAGGCACTCTTCCTCTCCATTTGCCCTGAGCTCAGGAAAGGCTCCGGGTCCCTGGGGTCCTTTCAGTGGTATTCGGTAAGCGCGAGCCCAGGGCCACGCCAGGCAGCACCTGGTTAGGGCTGGCGGGGCAGAGGAGCTGGGTAAGGAGACTGGAGCAGGCACAGGCTCGGGCGCACCTGGATGGGCCACCCTGCCGGGGTCGGAGAGGGCCGGGGCGCGGTTGGCAGACTCTGTACCCTAAGGACTAACCAGGGCCCTGGGCCACCTCAGGTGGGAACGTCATCGCAGATCCTGACCCGCTCTGACTCCCTGCCGGAGAGGCCCTGCAGCCGCGGGCTCTGGACCCGCGCCAGGGAGGCGTCGCCGGCTGTGTCGGAGCCGCTTCCTGGGTGCCGCGGGCTGCGGAGGAACGCAAGGCGCGGGGACAGCGCACCTGGGGTGGCCCCGGCGCGGGCGGCGACATGGAGGAAGGCGTGCTCAAGGAGGGCTTCCTCGTCAAGAGGGTGAGTGCGCGCCGAGCCCTGGACCTTGGCCGGCGTGGGGCGGCCTCGGCTCCCCTGAGCCCGGCCAGGCGTGCCCGGGACAGGACCACACCGCACCCGTCCTCGTCCCCAGCCCGGGTGGTGGGGTCGGGCTGCCTGGCCCTGCCCGGCAGAGCCGCACGTCTGTGGGGACAGGGAGCGGGAGAGAAACTCCGGACGGGAAAGTGCGGCGGCGCAGGCGCAGGCGGGGCGGGCTGGGAGCCCTGCTTGGTTCGGGTTCGGGTCGGCGGGGGCCGGCGGTGTCTTAATTAAAGCCACTAACTGACGCGGTGCGCGTGGGACAGCGTTTAAATATAGCTTATTAAAATAACACGGTGCGCGCCGCAGTAGCTGCGTGTGGGGGTAGGAATGCTCTGCTGCTTACGCACTCGCTGTTTGCCCATCCTGGACGTCTTAGAGTTTAGTTCTCCCCACAGCCCCATTTATCTCTTCCCTTTTAAAATTATTATTATTATTATTATTATTATTATTATTACTTTGTTGCTAGGAGAGAGGACACGTGTGCTCACCAGAGAGAGAGAGAGAGATGGAGACACAAAGAGGGAGAATGTGCCCCTCCCCCACGGGTCAGCCATAATCGCGCTCCACTCTTTCATCCTGCCAGGATTTGGGGCACACATGCACACGTGCCCAGCATGTTCTCCAAGCTGCCTGGCTGGGGTTCAGACCGCTGTTGGCATGTGGGGTCCGGCTCCCTTAAAACCCCCTAGGCTGCTCTGACTTTTTCGTCCAAGGGCCGACAGCACAGAGAGGTTAAGTAACTTGCTGGGGGTCACGGAGAAAGTGGGCCGTAGAGCCGGGATCATATCTACTCAGGTCACCCCCAAACCTTTTCTTCTCTAGCACCGTGCATTATGAGGGCAAGCGTGGTGTCACTGTCACAGGTGAGGAAACAAGCTAAGAGAAATGAAAAAGCTGGCCCAGAGCCCCAGAACTGCCAATAGCTGGGAGGGGAGTCCCGTTCTGACCTCCATCCTCAGTCCTTCCCATCACCCCAGGTGGCCCACAGTAAGAAAGAATTCAAACGAAGCAGGATGCCTGGGCAGGAGGTAGGAAATGAACTGAAAGAGCAGCTGCAAGAGGACATTTGATACTTTAAAATTATTTTTAATTTGAACGTTGATATAACACTAAGCATTGCCTATAGACTTTGGGGGTAAGCCTTTGGGCTCTGCTGAAGTCATAGCTTTGGGAGGGAGATGATGAGGGATGAAGGGGCTTTCCCTTCCCTCACCTCTCCTGGTAGCCAGGTCAGCCCTGAAGTCTCTTATCACTGCGTGTCCCTCGGTCGCTTGCGTGTGGTATTTGGTGAGGCGTGTGGTATTTGGTGAGGCGGGGTGGGCATTTGCTCGGGACTGTAAGCAGGAAGGTAGGAGGCTGATGCCTGATCAAGGGTCAGGTTGGATACAGTGGAATAGATGTCCACGCCCACTTCTTGCCACTGTGACTGAAATGGTGGGTCGGTCCCTCGTGACAGGAAGGTGGGTGCACCTTCGGGAGATGACTGTGGGAACCTTCTGTTTTCACCCTTCACTGCTGCTTGTGAGGTGAGAGGCAGTGTGAGTCTGGGGTTGGTTGGAACTCTGATAGCTGGGCCCTGGTAGGGCCCCATGGAAAAGTGAAATCAACACAGACAAACCCTGCTCAGAGGTGGCTTTCTGGGCCTCACTCTGTTCCCTGGGATTGCCTCAGTGAGTCCCCACTGCTACTGTGCCCAGTCAGGAGGGCTAGAGGGAAAGCCACAGATCCTGCTGGGATGTTGCAGGGAGGATGATGGGTATTTTCTGGTTGGCCTGGCTTGGGGATCCAAGGTGCAGAAAAATGAGTCCAGTACATAGATCTGGCCCCAAAACACTCTCAGAAAGGGGTGCCTTGGCTGAAATGCATAAAGCTCATTGCAGCCAACGTTAGACTGGGATTTGGAGCCGGATCCTGAGGCGAGTGGAAGCCACACCTATTCCTGCACGGGTGTAGTGAGGGATGTGGCCCCAGCACCCTGGCTATGGGCTCTGCCTGCTGATCCATGCATGTGTTCTTCCCCCGCCCACATCCCCTTTCCTCCCACAGGCACTGGAGAAGTTGCAAGGCTGCGGGGGGTGGGGTGGGGGCCACAGATCTGGGAGGGCTTGCAGTCCAGAAGCGGGGCAGGGCCTGAGGTGGAAGCTGGAGTGTGGAATAGTCACCCCCGCCCACATCCCCTTTCCTCCCACAGGCACTGGAGAAGTTGCAAGGCTGCGGGGGGGTGGGGTGGGGGCCACAGATCTGGGAGGGCTTGCAGTCCAGAAGCGGGGCAGGGCCTGAGGTGGAAGCTGGAGTGTGGAATAGTCATCACCGGCGGAGACAGGCAGGCAGGGGCATGAAGGAGCTGGTATTCTGGCCCAGACAAGCAAGCAGAAAGCTTCAGGCCAAAGCAGGGAACTCTCTGGAGAGTGAGGGAGGGAGGGAGGAAGCAAGGGACTCCAGTGAGTAGCACTGCTTTCCTTTAAGAAGAGACAGAAGCACTTTTAGGCTTTGCTCTGGGCTCTTATCTGGAACAATATCACCATGTTAACATGCTTGTGTCAAGGAATTTCCCAAGGAAATACTGTAAAGCTTTATGAACAAAGTGATTTATGTAGTGAGAAAACTGGAAAGAACCGATCTCTATGTTTCCCCCAAATAAATGAATAAAATCACAGTCAGATATTAAATGGTTCTAGTCTTAAAACCCAAAGAGTAAAAATACAAAAGGTATATTAAATAAAAGAAAAAATATGCACAGGAGAAAAAAGACCAGAGGTGTTTTGGAGGCTTGAAGTCCAAAATCAAGATGTTGGTGGAGCCACGATCCCCCTGACATCTGGAGGGGAGAACCCTTCTTGTCCCTTGTAGCTTCTGGTATTTGCAGGTAGTCCTTGGTGTTCTTTGGCTTGTAGATACAGCATTCCAGTCGCAACTTCTTGGTCACATGGCTACCTTTTCCCTGTGTTGCTCTTAGTGTTCGGATTTCTCTCTTCCTATGAATACAGCAATGATACTGGGTTACTGCCTACCCTAATTTGACAGGACCTCAGCTCATCCTAACCTGATCACACCTGCAAAGACCCCATTTCCAAATAAGCTCTCATTCATAGGTGCCAGAGGTTCGAACTTCAGTGCGTCTTTTTGGAAGCACCATTCAATCCATACCAAGTATCATCTCTGCTTTTGGTGGGTTGTAGGACCTTGGCAAGACCTTTCTGGGCTTCTGTTTCCTCATCTTTGAAGTTAGGAAGTCGAGTAGGCTTTTTCTAAGGGTTTCTCTAGCTATGACGTTCTGTGCTTTTTAAGCCAGCCCCGAGGTGCAACCTCAGCTTATAGGCCTTTCCTCCTTCCCCATTTGGGGTTTTAGGAGTTCCAAGCCACTCTGCTCTAGCTGGCCTCGGGCCTCAGCTGCTTGTAGACAAGAAGCCTGAAGACAGAGGCTTCTCTATACCCAGAAACAAATGCCTGGTAAAAGGAGGCCTGGGTTTTATCCTGTTTATACCACTGGTTTTGGTCTCTGACCCACTTGGCTTGGTGACTTTGGACCAGTCACTTGTTCCCTCTGCACATGGTGTAGATTATCTGTA